GATGGGAGAACATCTTGAGATTCTTTTGTTTGTAATTCAAATGGCCTAAAGTGGAGGGAAATTGATGTTTTAAACTTTCATTTTCTTTATTTTCACATCCCCTGTATGTTCGCATTCTCTGGGCAGGTGTGAACTCACAACTACACTTTTGTCCTAATTTCTCTTCACTTTCTCCAAAATAAGAAGGAAGAGGGTGGCCAGTGGAGGAGGAAATCCTCTCCGGATACTATGATGTGATAGGAAACAGAGATGCAAAGTTCTTTTTCCCCCTCTCACTGCAACTTAGTTTTTCTGTAGATAAAACTCAGCTGAAAAATTATAACTTCTTTCTGAAGTTTATGAAGTTCAGTGGTGCCTAATGCTTTGGGAAATGGGAAATACTTGCAACTCCTTAAATAAGGTGATGATATTTAAAATCATGTTCAAGGTTTATGGTATATACATTAAAATAACTATTTCCTTGAACTGATCTTTTCATGTTTAAATTTCATGATTAGAATTTAGTTCAAAATCCCTATTTAAGTGATACTACAGAGACAGCAAATTAAAATGTGTGTAGCATTTATTTATTTATTTTTAAAGATTTTATTTATTTATTTGACGGGGAGGGGGAGAGGGAGAGAGCACAAGTAGGGGGATCAGTGGCAGAGGGAGAGGGAGAAGCAGACTTCCCACTGAATAGGGAGCCCTACCCGCGGTGTGCGTGTGGAGGGTGGCTGGATCCCAGGACACCGAGATCATGACCTGAGCCAAAGGCAGATGCTTAACTGACTGAGCCATCCAGGCACACTTGTGTGTAGCATTTAAATACATTATTTTATTGACATTATTTCAATAAAGTGGTTATAAGGGTCTTGAACTCTGGAATCATTTTATATTAAGAGTTTGATTAATAAGCCTAATATGTTTTATTTCACTGTAAGTGTAACTTTAAAAAAAATCTAAGAATATTTCAAAAATAATTTTATTAAGCCTTTAATGTATGCCTGTTAGAACCACAATTGCTCATGGTAATATTATCTTCCATTTATATTTTCCTTTTATTAGGCCCCAAGTGGAGACTGACATACTATATAGACTCAGTAAAGGGAAAGCTACTACTATCACTGTTTTCAAATGACAGTCTTGGTATGCAGAACCAGGAAGTGTACCATGCATGCAACACAGTTTTTCAGAGAATAGAATAGGATAACATGCCTTTGGAATAGGAGACTACAAGGATCAGGGTCAGAGGAACTCCTATTTTATCGAGGCAAGATAGCATGGAGAAAAGGGGACTCTTTCTAGAGATCTTGATTCTAGTTTCAGCATTGCTTACTAACTTACTATGTAAACCTGAGAAAGTCAGTTAGCATCTCTGAGCCTTGGTTTCATCATTTTTTAAATGAAGTGATTTTAGGTGACCTCTAAAATGCTTCCAGCCATCAAATATGATTCCATCTCTTTGGGGGATTTAGTTTTTGTGTCTGAGATTATTATTAGCCAGGTACAAACCGAGGGAAAGTCACATTAAAGCAATTTGCTAGCCTCAGATTTTGTAAATTACTGTATTTGACTGTTCCAAGGTTCTGCAATTTTTATATATTGACATAGAAGACTTTCCTTCATAGGTCTGATATTCAGAGAAGCAGCAAAACAGTATAATCTGTTTCTCTAGGAATTGAGTAAGGAAATCTGATAATTTGGGCAGTTCATCTTGGCTTCTGGTAAAAAGCAGTTGTATCCAGGAGCTTTAAAAAAGCTGCTTTTAGTAACTTTAAGTGGGAAGGAAATTAAATGGAAACAGCAACGAGAGAATGTCTTCTTGGGTCCAGTTCAATAAGCACATATTGAGCTTCTATTAAAGGTCTACAACCTCTTATTTTAAATCTGAAATCCAAAAAGCTCTAAAAATCCTGAATTCATTTAGTTGCAAAACATGACCTGAATGGATATGAGGCTATATGCATTTTTTATTTATCCCATTTAATGTAAATACTCATTTCTCTCACTGAAGAAACTGTGATGTATTCAGCTTTGAAGTACCACCCCAGAACCTGCTAGGAATATTCTGTAAGATGTTGTACATGGCCTCTAATACCATTCTAAGTGCTGAAAGTTTTGAATTCCAAAACTCATGTAGTTATATGGGTTTGGGTAAAGGGTCTTGGACATGTATGTGACAAGGATGAAGGGGAGTGGAAGGATGGCCGGAGAGGAACTAGATGAAATGCAAAGGTAAATGAGTAGTATGAAGTCAATCTTCTCAAAAATTTCCCAGACACTCACCAATACAATGTGGTGTATTTTAGGGGCGCCTGGGTGGCTCAGTTGGTTGAGCGTCTGCCTTCGGCTCAGATCATGATCCCGGGGTCCTGGGATCGAGCCCCACATCGGGCTCCCGGCTCCGCGGGAGGCCTGCTTCTCCCTCTCCCACTCCCCCTGCTTGTGTTCCCTCTCTCACTGTCTCTCTCTCTCTGTGTCAAATAAATAAATAAAATCTGAAAAAAAAAAAACCAATGTGGTGTATTTTATAGAAGAGATATGGATACAATTTAAGGACACTCACAGAGGGAGCAATTATTTCTGCTGGGATTTCAGGGCATATCACAGAGGAGGGAACATTTGAAGAGGGTCCTGAAGGATGACTAGGCATTTCTCACAGAGAAAGGCATTCTAACAGAAAAAAGGGAGGCATGTACATTCATGGTGTATTGGGAGCCCCAAGGCTTCTCCGGGGCAGAGTTAGAGTAGCCATGAAGAGGATGTAACAGGGCTGAGTGTCTGAAAATGAGGTTGGGATTTTTATTCAGTACCTTGTATCCCATGCTAATAAACATCCATTGATCCCCATTTAGGTTGTGTAGCCTAGGGTTGGCCCTAAAGAGGGTATTCATGTGTAAGTTCTTTGCTAAAGAAGCACACCCAGGAAGATCTATAAAGGGAGTAGGGCAGCAGGACAGGGAAAAGCAAGAAGACAAGTAAGGGAGTAATTTTTTTTTTTTTTAAGTCCAAGTGCCAGAGATGGCTTTAGCTTGACCCTGAAGTGGGGTAGTATAATGAATAGTAAGGCTTAAATACTCCTTTCAGTACTTTTCAGTCACTGGGTAAGGGCCATGGGGTGGACCAGATGGGTTGGTGATGTGAATTTCCAGGCACTTCACCTATCCCTGCCTGGGTTCTCCCAAAAGCAAGTGTAAGTGCTCACTGAAGGGGAGGAGTTGGGTGAAGTGCACTAAAATGCTGAATAGAGATCCAAGGAGAGGAGTGGAGTACCAACATTTTCTGCCATTATACCATTTGGTGACCGCTTATTGCATCTCAGGCTTTACACTGAATACCTCAAACAGTCATCTCAATTCCATAAGATAGGTCATATTTTCCCTTTTACAGATGAGAATTCTGAAGCTTGGAAGGTCACCTGGGCAGTCTTGTTAGTGGAGTCTTGTGCTTAGAATCAAGCTCTTGTTAGTCCCCAATTCCCTGTGCATAACTGGATTCCCTAGATCCTCATGGTGTCCCACCCACCCCCACTTGCCACTTGAGCAACTCTAATAATCTGTTTTACATACTACTTCTTTGCAAACCCTTTTCTCTGAAGGAATTGTTCCAAAGTCTAAAAAGTTTCCAAACTGCAGCAAATAATGGATAGCCCACACAAGTTTTTATGAGGATTGGGCTGAAATACTTCTGGAAAAGCACTCTTTCATTTTGTTTGGCTCCTGAATAAGGTTTTCATATTCCAATAGAGCAGAATAGTCTCTCTTATTTAAATATAACCCAATTAAGAATATTAAATCAAGACTGATGCTTATTTTGCTGTGTTTATGATTTTTAATTTGGAATTCCTTCAGAAATTTTTAGAAACCAAGGTAGGTTTTCAATAGTTAGTAAATGAAAGGAATTAGTTGATACATTTAATTCCTGAAAATTCTGAATTGTGTCTAGTTCATCTAAATTAGATAAATCCTAATTCTGTTCATTTTTTTTTTTTTGGTAGTTAAAAAACACCATTTTGAATAGTTCTAAGCAAGACAGTCTTAAGAGATGTCTCAAAGAAATTATGAGTACAATTAGATTTGGGGAGGTAAATGTGTACATGTATTAAAGTTACTAAGAATATTTCTCACACACACAAGTGTCAAGGAAGTCAATTTTATTTGTTCATTTATTTAAAAAATATTTGTTGAGAATCTATTATATGCCAGGCAGCCAACGAAACAGTCCAGATTTCCCTTCTTATGGAATTTACCATCAGAAGAGAGCAGAATAAGTTATTATCATTATGTCTTATTGTTGTTATTGCAAACAAAGAAAACAAAGCAAATTTTAAACTGAGAGTATGGAAAATTTGAGAGTATGGGGAAAAAAAGTTGTTTCTCTAGAAATTAGTCATTTTATATTACATGTTAAGCTGCAAAGCAAATAAATCTTCTCAGAATTGACCTCAACAAATATATATTGAATATCTACTATATGCCAAGCACTGCTAGCACTGTTAAAATGAAAGGCAGTAATTTCTTTGTTAGCTACAATGAGTGTGGCAAACTAAAACCCTATGAAAAATATATCCATGTGAATGATGATCTCTTAAAATTCCAATAACTGCCAAAATGGAATTCATAGAGGAACCTTCAAAATAGAACAAATACTCATAAACACCATAAATAGCACGATTAAGATTTTGTTACATTATTACTGAATGGGCTTTTTTTCTTAATTAGAAATACATGGGAAAGAATGCTTTTAGTGACTTCTTTATTCATGTGCGGTTACTCCTATTTGTTATTTCAGAAGCATTCTGTTGTCTGTAGGAAACGAATTAGCAGCATTACAAGAGTTTCCACTTAAGTACTTTCAACCTTTTGCTCAGTTTCATTCCATCTCAGCTCTTCTCTTTGGTGAGAAGAGATGCTTTTCTGTCTTTTCATGTTGTGTTTTATCAGTTGTATCAATATTGATGAGCCAAGAGGAAATAAATGTTACTAAAAAATAAATCTGTTTCTGTGTGTTTCTCCCAGACTGCCTTCCATATTCATCACAGCATCTGCACGCTTGACTGGGAAAATCATGAGGCCCTGCCAAGTCGGTGGTTGCGCTAGCTCTACCGTGACACTGTGAGGAGAAACTTGGGTTTCGAACCAGTGAACAGTATGTACAACGTATTTTCTCTACACATTTTCAACAGAAAGGAATATGGGATTGAAATATATTCATAGACCTTATGCCATCTTTTCCTACCTCTCCAACAAAGAGTAGAGCTTCCATTTTCATTCACGCTGCCAATCCCTTCCCTGTCCCATCTACCTTGGGCTCCCCCCTGCCCTCTCCATCATGTTATGCTGGGCTCGTCCTGGATTTTCTTGCAGTTTCGCACTGCCAACCCAGATATTGGATTTATATTCCCTTCACTTATTTAAAGCCAATCTCTTCTTAAAGGGCCAAATAAAATTTTAACTCTTCTTCTAAACTTTTTTGCCAATTCTAGAGCTCACAGATTTTTAATCACCATGAATATTTTTATGGCCAGAAACGGTGTTAACATTTTCTCCAAACTTTTTCATGTATGTTAGTTTAGTTCTTCCAATTATTCAAGAGCAGGAACTATTTTTATTCTTTGGATTTATGTCTCACAGTGCTGAGCACTCCCTCTTCTGTTTTACATAATTCTGTATGAGTTCATTCAACCACTGAAAAAAATTCCTTAACTACGTAGTTTGCAGTTGGGTGCTATATAAGGCACCAAAAATGCTATAAAACATAAGGCAGTTCCTGCTTTCTAGGATTTTACAATCCTACAAAGAAACATGAAAATATGTGTAACAAGAATGACATCAGAGATGCATTATTCATTCACTTATTCACTACTAAGTACTTTTCACTTGGTGAGGAACAGATTCACAGCCCCTACAGTCATGGGGCTTATTGTCTTCTATGTTTTGGGGAGTGTCAGAGTGTCAGAAGGACTGCAGAGGACCCTCTCTCTCCTTACTCTCTTTACTCTTTCTCTCTCTCTCTGAATGACAAAAAAATCAAGAAGTAAGGAAAACAAGATGGTGAGTAACTATGAAAGAGATTGAGTTCTATTTTCTCCAGGAAAATCTGAGAGGCTCTTGCTGTGGAAATATCTTTTATCCATAGGCAGATAAAAGATCGTGTATTATCTGCTGCCTCCCAGAAAATCAGATGAACAAACTTACAGTCCAGGTAACTGGAGGTGTGGAGAGTAAAATAAGAAACAGAAACCATCACCACCACCATCACCACTGTTACTATAACCACCACCCTCACCACCACACCACAACAACAAAGTGTCTTTAAGACTCAACCTCTGTATTAGAGACCTTAGAATATTGTATTGCTGAACTTGGAAGAACAAAGCTCTACATTCTTACACACCAGCAGAAGAAAAGTTATCGCCATTAACTCACTTTCCATGTACTCTATTCCCAGTGAAAATTGGCTTCTGCCTCCACCAATTTACGGAAATTTTTTTCAAAATGTCAGTAATGGCCAAATTGGCATTTTCAGTACACATACTATTGGACTTCTCTGTTGAAGTTGATTCTGCTGACTTGTCTTTATTTTTTTAAAGATTTTATTTATTTATTTATTTATTTATTTATTTATTTATTTATTTATTTGAGTGTGAGTGCAGGGACGGGCAAAAAGAGAGGGAGAGAGAGAATCTCAAGCTCAGCTCAGGGTCCTATGTGGGGCTCCATCTCATGACTCTGATATCATGACCTGAGCTGAAATCAAGAGTCTGATGCTTAACCGAGTGAACCACCCTGGTGCCCCTCTGTTGTCCTTAAGCTATCAGTTTCAAAACTTGAATTCTGTCACACTGTAGTGTTCTGCCTTTCTTCTCGGACTCTTAATCTTTTTTGTGTCTGTCCTCCTAGGGTACATTTTCTATTTTCAGCCAGTCTGTCCCCTCCCTAGGCTGATGTCATCAGGCCTCATGGTTTTAAGTACTACCTATATGCTTATTGCTGGCAATTTTTTCTTATGTCTAGATTCTTCACCCAACGCCTTCACCTGTATGTCTTATATGCCCTTAAAAGTCAGTACAACTCACACAGAGCTCTTAATTTCCCCCTATAAAATACTTCCTTTTCCAGTTTTTATTTCAGTTGATGATAACACCATCCACCTAGTTCTTCTAACCAAACCAAAAAGTTAGGAGCAATTCTTGAGACTTCTCCCTCACCAGCCACATCCAGTAAACCCCGAAGTATTTTTTTGAGTATGTCCCCACCCCTTCTCTGTTTCTATTGCCTCTGTTCTAGTTTGCTTTAACTCTTGTGGTCTTTCTAGGTGGTCTCTGGGCATTTAGCCTTTGTTTCCCATCAATTCCATTTTCTAAATAGCTAATAGACTAAATAAACTCTTTAAACACATATCTGATGTTCACTCTCCTTGTTAAAGCCCTCAATATGATATAATTGTCTACAGCATCAGTTTTCTTACTGTGGAGTAAAAGGCCTCCATCGGCCCCTATCTGCTTCTAATTGCATAATCTTTCCAACCAACACCTGCCCTGTAGTGTGTAGCTGGCTGTGTGATTCCACACCTTTGTGTCTTTGCTCTGTCTGAAATGCTCTTACCCCTTCACCCACTTGCCTAACAGATTCCTGTTTGTCATGGCTACTAGGAATTATCTCCAAATATTTTATGGTAGTGACCCTTTGGGGCTCTGGGATAACTTAATATTAAAAAAGTCAAAGGGCATTTTTAGGCAGAGTCTATGAGAAGATTATAGTAGTCACATGATATTCCACATGACATGCCCTACCTGTCAGCCAAGTCTGGATTCAAATCTGATGTAGACAGAGAAACATTCACAAAAGTTTTATCAGAATGCTTCCTCTATTTTATCCCAATGGCTACCCTTCCCATTATCAGGAAAATTCATTTGGTGAAAATGGGCAGAAGGAGAGGATTTTGTTCCTATACTTTTGAGGGCATGGTCTTGTCCATTTTTATCCTGAATAAGCCATGGCCAAATTTTGTGGTGTCCTATGCCAGACATTTGAGTTCCAAATTACTTAAATTTTATATACGGGAAGTGTATACTCTTGCTTTTCTATCCTCACTGTTGGTCACAGGAGCTAAAAGTAAATAAATGCCTTCAGTCCCCCAAAGATCAATTGGCTGAAAATGAAGGAAACATGGGGTCCTCCATTTAAGACTATTCTTCTATAAGATCCCTGGAGAGAGACTAGGGTATAGGTGATAGGTAAAATGCTTCTACTCAAATTATTAGAATTCTTCATGATTAACACTAGGCCTCAATATGATTCTTTATATTATACTACCATTCATTCTTGAAGATTCAGTTTATGAGTTAAGGTCTTTTAATGAAAGGAGAACTGTCTTGGATGTCCAGATTAGGTTTTGTTCATCAGTCCTCACCCCACCCAGTATTTTGGGAATGACTCTATCGTTTCACTTAAAACATTGAGTTACATGTCTTTAAATCTCTGCTTCTTATACTCCTGGGTTCCTTGATAGCAGGAACCACATCATATTTTTTTATTGCCCCCAAATTTAGAATGGTGCCTAGTAGGTACTTAATAAAATGTTAGTTGGTTGAATGAGTAAACAAATTGTTACTGGTTTCAATGAAGTTTAGGTTTTAAAGAATTCACTAATTCTTAATGTCTACATAGTAATCAATAAACTCTATTTTTGTCTGATAACACATTTCTTACTATCACATTGAGGCAAGAGTTTCTATATTTCAGCTATTCCCAGAGGTCCTGGGGATAAGGACATAAATCACCCGGCAGTGTTCCATGAAGCTAATAACCTAGAAGAATTTGTATAGGAACATGTATTAAATATTGCATGGGCTAGGATGTTGCATTGTGTGACAGTACTCTGACATGCAAGCATAGGTAGTTTTGCCCTCAGAAACTGAAACTGGCATTCAACACCTAACGAATCAGAACACAAATATACAAGTCAGCTAAGGAGAGAGCAAACTTACTCCCAAGGGCGAGAAACATATTACTGAAACCTGACTGAAGATGTTATAGCTAAAGGAAGGCAATACCAAGTAATGAGGAGCTAGACTGAAATGGAAATGTGAAAATTGTAATCATGTCCCATATTCTGATAGTGCTCTTCTAACCTCTTCCTAGTGAAAGGGCCTTTGGTTGGGAGAAAACCTCTCAGGGCCATGTGTCATGGATATCCCTCTTGTGGAGATGGCTGTTTTAGGCTGCCTTAGACTGATGCTATCATAAGGGGAATATGGCAGGGAGAAGATATATTTCACATATAGTAAATGTCATGAATGGAGAAGGCAGGGCAACAAGTAGTCCAGCCTGGCAGGAACACGGTGGTAGCAAGTAGGAAGCTGGTGCTAATGGTCAGGCCATAGTCTAAGTGTGTGTAGGAGAATTAGACATTGTCCTAAGGTATTTGATTATTTGTAATTATAGGTTATAGGGGCCATTGAAGATAATTAAGACAGAAATTAGAGTTAAGATATAAGATATAAGATCAGACATTGGTTTTGTTCACAAAAACTGAGTAATGAATACCTAGGAAGCCTATTGGAGGTTTTTGCAGTATAGAACAAAATACACAAGACAAATGATGAAGGCCTAAACTAAGCAATGGTCAAGAAAGAGTGTTGAGTACATATTGCAAAAAAGAACATGAGACAAAAAACATAAAACGCTTCTAGCATTGACAAATAGCAGCCAATTTTTAACACCACTCAACTGTCTTAACTTTACTTTGGATCAATAGAACATGTGAATGATGTTGTCGCTAAATCCCTGCAACACTACTTTTTTTTTTTTTTTTTTAGATTTTTATTTACTTATTCATGAGAGACAGAGAGAGAGAGAGAGAGAAGCAGGCTCCCAAGAAGCAGGGAGCCCGATGCGGGACTCGATCCCAGGACCCTGGGATCATGACCTGAGCTGAAGGCAGACGCTTAACCATCTGAGCCACCCAGGCACCCACCTGCAACACTACTTTTTAAAATTATTTTTTATATTGTGGTAAGTATACATAACATGAAGTTTACCATTTTAACCCTTTTTAAGTATACAATGCAGTTGCACTAAATGCATTGACAATACGTGACTATTACCACTATCCTTCTCGAGAACTTTTTCATCATTCCAAACTGACGCTCTGTATCCATTCAACATTAACTCCCTGTGCCATCTCCTCCCTGGTAATCTCCTTTCTACTTTCTGTCTCTGTAAGTTTGCCTATTCGAAATATCTCATATAAGTAGACTCATACAACATTTGTCCTGTTGTGTGTGGCTTATTTCACTTAGCATATTTTCAAGGTCCATTATTGTTGTAACGTGTGTCATTCCTTTCTATGACTGAATAATATTCCATTGTATGCCTGTGTCACATTTTGTTTATTTGTTCATCCATTGATGAATTGTTTTTACATTTTAGCTATTGTGCATAATGCTGCTATGAACGCTGGCACACAAGTTATCTGTTCAAGTCCGTTTTCAGTTATTTTGGATACCTACTTAGAAGTTTTAAAGCCTTCCTTCGCTGTGGTAGGTGTAGGGATGAAATGCCAGAAGTGTACACTATGCCATCGAGAGCTCTGAATTCCCATTACTGTCCCTACTACTCAGAAGAGGGTCAAAACATTGAATCAATCATTATCGGAAGTGAAAATGCCTTGAATTTCAAGGAAATGACACTTCTGTTTCTCAAAGTTCAGGAGAACAACTTTTTGTTCCTCATCCAATAGGATGTACATGTCATCAGAGGTCCTTCATGCAAACACATGACATGGCATTTCTCCAGCAGCACACCAATCTGGAAATACATAAAACGTTCTGGGCAGTGGGACTGAGCGCCCCAGTGTGAGAGCCTGGGGAGAATTAAATCACACTACTGAAAGACTCATCTCACCTTTGTTAACAGCATCTAAAGTTGATGCTGAATTAGAATCCCATGAGAACATAGTGCTGAGACAGAGAGGTAGTAAAATTGAATCTCAAACATCAATATATTCTGAATCAAGGCATATATTTGTGTATAATAGTAACATATTTTGAGATCATACCATTTGCCAGGAGCCTTTCTAAGTTTTTTACATGTGAAGTGTTGCACACATAGTAGAAGCTAAGCATCTGTTTTGCAAATTGAATTGCATTATTGTGTTAATATATAGGCAACAACTAGCACCTGGCTTTGTGGCAGCTCTATAGACAGATGGAATTCGAACCATCTAGTAATCAGGACCTAGGCTGCACATTCCAGTTCAGAAACCATTTAATCAGCATCCCCTTTGGGCATGTAGAATCTGCCAAAAGGTAGCCCAGAGTAAGGTTAATGTGAACCTAGACTCTGGTAGGTCTAGGTTTTTTTTTTTTTTTTTAAAGAATATCTTAAATATCAACAAGTTTATATGAAGCTACGATATAGAAAAAACACTGAAGGTAAGGAAATTTATCAAAAGTAGTTCCTCCATTACAGAGTCCCTGGGGATAAAAACAGAAAGAATATTTTTAACTCCGTGTTTTTATGAGTCATTAACAAAAAGGCTATTTTAGTAACTCTCTTACCTGTTTCATTTATGCCTATCTCCTCAATGGGGAGTCATATTTACATCACTTTTGGAGTTAAAGTTTAACCCCAAAATCCCAAGGAGAAGTGGCACAGTGATTTGAATTAATATGAAAGTATAAATGTGTGGGTCTGGACGAAGGAGGGCATAGGAAGTGGGCAGAGGAGGAGACCAGAGTCATTGAGTCCATGTAGGGAGAGCTTGTCGGAAACACTTTGAAAGGCTACTCCCAGGATACTGGGAATAAAAACATCTGACTTTAAAAATGGTTCAGGGCTAACCCTGGGTGCATATTATCATTAATTTTCCTTGACATTAAAAGTATTGAAGGTAAGGCTTCAGGATTGAAACATGTTGGAAACAATTGAGAAAAGCAGGCTTTTTCTCATCCAAGCTTCCTCTTGCAGTGTGTCTGTGTGTGCTGCTTGCAAAGTGTTGCTAGGCAAGGAAACAGAAGAGTAAATTCAATATATAGTTTTGCAAATTTGTCCCTAGAGGTTCAGGGGATTCATTCAGACAGAATTTCATGTAGAGTTTTTCCTGCCTTAAATTAGGAGACATTGGGGACTTTTTTTTAAGTCCATGGGAATTAAAAATGCTCCTTTTGCTGAAGCTCCATTCCTCGGTTTCCCTGAGGAAAAAAAAGAATCATTTATTGTCACAAAGGGTCACTGGTTTGGTGACTCCCTTTCCTGTCACAGTATCATTCTCTTATTATATATCCACCAGTTTGGTATGAGGAAGAAAGATGGACCCTAAAAATTACTAAACTTGTTCTTGGTTTGGTGTGGCTTTGAGAGCCAAAAGTTTTTTGGGTACCCCTTATCCTTACCTGAAAGTAATATGCAAAGAGGAGTGAAAAGGGAACATGATTTGTTCAGACTTTCACAGGGAATGGTATGTTCCTTTATTCTGGTTTTTTTTTCCAAGTTTTTATTTAAATCCCAGCTAGTTAACATACAGTGCAACATTAGTTTCAGATGTAGAATTTAGTGATTCATCACTTACATACAGCACCTGGTGTTCATCACAAGTGCCCTCTTAATACTCATCACCCATCCCCCTGCCCATCTTCCCTCCAGTAACCATTAGTTTGTTCTCTATAGTTAAGAGTCTGTTTCTTGACCCTATGATCCAGCAATTGCACTACTAGGTATTTATCCAAAGGACACAAAAATACTGACTCCAAGGGATACATGCACCTGATGTTTATAGCAGCATTAGCAACAATAGCCAAATTACAGAAAGAGCCCAAATGTCCATCAACTGGTGAATGGATAAAGAAGATGTGGTATATATACAGAACAGAATATTACTCAGCCATCAGAAAGAATGAGATCTTGCCATTTGCAACAATGTGGATGGAGCTTAGAGTGTATTATGCTAACTGAGATAAGTCAGTCAGAGAAGGACAAACACCATATTCTGGGTTTTTTTTTTTTTTTTTTGAAATTATAATAACAACAGTACTTCAGTGCATTTGAATGTGTTCCACAGATGTAACAGGGCACTGCTTTGCTCATTGTGGTTTGAAAAACTACACTTATTGATCTATTGTCAAGCAAAACAGGAGCTCCTTGTACAAAAGCTCTGAGCTGTTTTTTTGTTTGTTTATTTGGTTTGGAAATGAGGCATCATTTTAGTGGACTCCTCTCCACTTATCTGAATTTGTTACAAGGAAAGTAGAATATAGACAGAGCAATTAGGAACCTCCACACAAGAATTTAACTCTACACCTTCACTTGACTGTTATTAATTGCTGCAATGTAGTTCTCTGTGTACTCAAAAATACATATAGTTTTCTAATTGTTTTTTTTGGGGGGGGGGCGAAGCAAAATTCAGAGTATATTCAGAAGATAATTTAGAACATTACAATATTAAAGATAATTTGAACTTGTATCCAGGAGGTTCTTAGAAAAATAAAATTTGAGCTACAGCAAGATAAAGTATTAGCTGGACTTACAGGATAGACCATCACTTGGTTCTAGTAGAAGAGTTGAATGATCCAGAACTGATTTTAGATTCTAATAAAGAAATTAATATATTTTTGTGAAAACTCTTGAAATGGATAAGAAGCAAAGCAGGAAACCTGGAGAAAATAGGACTGATCGTTCATGTATTTGCTTCTCTCAAAGCTGAAAAAACACATTTGAAAATTTCATAACCAACCCCAGTCCTGGTTTAATGTGAGCATAATAGGTGGTATGTCTCTATTTCTCTGCTGAAAATTCTGCTCTTAACTTGGATTAGACACCTACTTCAGAAATAATGATCATTCCTGTGTGTATTTATGCTTGAAAATGTTTAGCCAATTACAAATGAGCTGCCAGGGCATTAGAATTATTAATGTAATAAATTTGCTAACCAGTGTATCTCCAGTCCTAGAACAATGCCTAACACATATCTGCTATTCAATAAATATTTGTTGAATGAATGAATAAATTAAATTGCCAGAGTGAGGCAGCTCCATCTTTAGTGTGTATAAGATTAATCGTCCTAATGATTAAAATGAGAACTTTCCTCAGAATAAGGGGACTTCTGGGCATCTAGAAATCCATATGAAAACATTCAAAGGGAGAGAGAAACCCATAGAAATATTGGTAGGGTTGAAGGTTGGAAAGAGGCACAAAGTCAATTTTACCCTGGATTTAGGGAATCTTTCTTTAAATTCTGTACAATCACAGTGTGCAGAGAGAATAGGTTAGAGCAGAGGTTCCTAAACTTTGCTTGCTTCCAGTACTCTAGGTATCTTGGTGATTTTTTTTTTTTTTTTTTTACGATATTCCTAGGCCAAAAGAAAAGTGAAGTTTCATTTAAGTGCCTATGTCTAAACAATAAATGTTGAAGTCCTAACAACATAATATCCATTTGAATAAATAATGCACATACATTGAAAAAAAAACCAACATTTTTATTTCATTCTGAAATAGCCAAAATTACTTACTAATGAGGTTATATGCATGAAAATGATAATAATGTCAACTGCTAACTCACCAAAAAAGAATACCTACATAAAACAAAACTGCATTTATTTTTAACCCAGTAAGGGAGATCAATATTTTGCTGAAGCCTGAGTAACATTTCTGAGGGGGGAGGTGAAGGCAAGGATGTATATTTTGTTTTTTGAGTCTGTTTAAGACAGATCTTTCACTGCAGCAGCAACCTGATTGGGATCTGACAAAGTTCTTTACATAATAGTTTAAAATCAGTGGCCACAGTGAGACAAGGATTTCAAGGAAGTGTGGAAGTGTAAGTAGTCATGTTTTTTGGCTTAAAATAACAGAAATTTATT